CTTTTTTCTTCAGCGGTTTTCGTTGTCAGCGCCACTTCCTCCTTTTTTCGTGAAAGAATCCATTTGATCGATTAGTTTTCAGTCTGATCCACATCTTAGTCTCATCAACCCAATAGGAGGATAGATCTTCCAGACTGGTTACCGTAGACGTTTGTCGGGGTAATCTTCCGATTTCCTCTGCTGAGACTACGATGCTGTAGTTATTTCTCCAAAAACTGTCGTGTACTTTGCAGGTTGTGCGCAAATGACCGTTTCCTCCACACGAGAAGCAAGGAGAGGCACGGTTTTTGCTCACGTGGTGCACAAGTATCTTTCGTCCAGTCCAGTTAATGAACCTTTTCCCTTTCAGAAACAGTAGGCAGTAAGGAAAATTTTCCAATGTATCGGTCTGCAAAGCTTGATTGCCATCACTCGGCTCTTGCCAAGTCGTGTATACACCTGCAAATTGTTGTTGGATGAATGTGTCTATCGCCGCTTCGTCCATAAACCTTAAAATATTGAGTAGTCGAACATGGTATCTGTCATGAGGTTGCTCATTTCTGATGCCATCTGCACCTATTTGTCTGGCCCACATCTGTGTGGCTCTCTGCATGTGGTCCTCCGACAATGGTTCTTCATCCTGATGCGCGTTTTTGAGAGGAAATCTTCTAGTACGGAAAGACAAAGACGTAAACTCGTTGCCCCACTTAGTAGCCATCTCACGCGTCCAGCAAATAATATGTACGGTGCGATGGTCCTGGTCATAGTATATTTCCTTGGCTTCTTGCAACATTTGAGTTACCTTCTCCTGGTCATTTCAGCTGTTTCGAATGCCCAAAAAAATTCGTTGGTTAGGCGACATCGGGACTGAAATTCTGGGTAAATCTTAAACTCCGGACTGAGCATCAGCATTAGATCCCTCTCCTCTTCGACTCTGATCGTGTCCTGTACCACCCGTAGAGCTACATTGGCTCAAACGCGCTTCAGAAAATCCGGTAACTTAGCGAGACAAAGGATGGTGCCTTCCAGGATACCCTTTACCACTTTCCACTCTAATTCCGACGGGGTTGGAGACGACTGGGAAACCATATCGCATTTCACTTTGGTCCGTAGCTGCTGGTTAGAAACCGGAAGGTAGATGGTGCAGCTCTCATCACTCATTAAACTTATTGCTGGCTTTGTTTTTGTTAAGTACGACTCGGAAAAACACACTTTTTCTTGCCGGATTAGCCAAAATAAGGAATACCGGTACTGTACTGGTATTAACGCTTTGATACCTAGTAGCTTTAGAGCATCCCAAATTAGGTAAACATAAATAGAGATTCTCTTACCTTCTCGCATTCACCCGCTTCACTAAAAGGCCCCGCAGCTTCTCGGCCCCAACCTGGCTTTTGGGGAGAGGACGGATATGCTCTTTAGCTCATGTAATACCAAGAAATCCATTAAGAATACCGATGAGTCCGCAAACGCGTGACGTTGCTATCGTTCTTCTACCAGTCTACTCCACTTCGAACAATCCTTCGACCTCGAGTTCACGAATACGGGCAAGGTTTCTCTCGAGAACGTTGTGGTCCTTGTGAGTGAGCATAATACTGCCCGGCGTCGTGAACATGTCAACCGTCTGACGCATATTGTCTCCTGGCCCGACGAAGATTTCCTTCTTAAGGAAAGCTGGCATCTTTTCAATCTCGGCTATACCTGGTATACTCTTCAAGACACCATTCTTGTACGACACTAGCATAGCCTCACAGCCGTAAGCAAGCAGCTTAGTGGGTCGGTCGGAAAGCTTGGCAAAAGCCTCGCCATCTAAAATACTGTCAACGGCTGCAGTCACTTGGTTATAACCCACGCACATGTTGGCGATAGGAACCCACGCTCCTTCACCGCCGTGACAACGCGAGCCAACCTCGATCAGTACCGGCGAGCCGCCGCAGAATTTCACCTCTCCATGGGCAGGTCCTTCGCGAATGCCCAGAGCGTCGAGCACTTGGAACTGGTAGTCGATCATCTCGTTGATGATTCCCTCAGCAGGCACCAGTGACAGCCCGAAATAAACAAACGCAGCATCGTTGACACGGCGCTTGTCATACTTCCAGATCGCCGCCACCTTGTGCTCACCACTGCGGCTGACAGTATCCACTACATACTCGTCGCCCTCTAGAAACTCCTGTAGCAACACGGCGTCATTCTGAATTCCAAGACCATTAATCTTGCCCAGGATACCGCCAAACGTACGCTGCGCCTCCTCAATCGATAGACACAGAACAACGTCCTCAGTGCCCGCACTCTCCAGGGGTTTGAGCACCACTTCAAAAGGTTCTGGTTTAAGATCCTGCGTGATAAAATCCTCAGCTTCAGCCCACGTCTTGGCCTTCACCTGCTTTACAGCACGCACCCCAGCCGAGCGAAGAGTTTCGCCCATCAGATACTTGTCGCGACGAGCGTTTGAATGGTCCAAGACGTTTCCTTCCAGCCCCAGGGCATCGATGAGAGCATCGGCCAGTTTGACACCGAGTTCTGCACCGGCAAACACTGCACACACTGCAGCGCTGGCCTTCACTCTCTGTTTCTTCTTCTTGCTGCGCTTGTCTGCCACCTGCGTTGCAGCTTTACGAATCGCACTCACAGTCTGGTCCAGATTCCCTTCAAACGCAACAGTCGCTGCAAACTCCAGCGTAAGACCTTCTGGCACCAGGCTAGCAACACTCTCGATGTTCTCGAGACGGTCGCTGTACACGCAGATGCAGTCGTAGCCTCGGACCATAAGTTCGTGAGCCAGCACAGCTCCAGTCGAGAAAGGGTCCACCACCACTACAGTACCATGCAACCGTTTTGGCTTTGACTCAGCTTCTTCTTCAGGCTCCAGTTCATACAGTCCTTTGTGTTCCAACTCACGAATGCGTCCGTAGTCATAAATTAGCTGCTCTTCGTCTTTGTGGACCAGAATAACACTGCCAGGGGTCGAAAACATGTCGACGGTGGTCTTCAACTCCTCTCCAACATGCGTGTACCATACTGTGGAGACTGTAGACGACAACTCTTCGATCTCCTGTTGGCCTGGGTAACCTGCTAGCTTTCCTGTCTCATACGACACCAGCATGGCTTCGCAGCCATACGATTTGAGCTCTTTCGGACGGTCTGGCAGTCGTTCAAACGCTTCTGCATCCAAATACGAGTCCAATGCCGCGTCTACATGATTGTAGCCAAGACAGGGCGTCACTATGGGCAGATACGAGCCAGATCCACCGTGACAACGTGAGCCAATCTCCACAAGACACGGTTCACCTCTCACAACCTTCACTTCAGCATGTGCAGGACCGTGGTCGATTTCCAGAGCCTTCACCACCTTTAGCACGTAGTCGGCCACTTTGGCCAGCACGGAGCCATCCGGAGCTGCACGCAATAGAACACCATAGTACACGAAGGGAGCGTCATTCACAGCACGCTTATCATACTCCCACACAGCTACAACCTTCGTCACACCGTTGCGACTGACTGTATCCACGACGTACTCAGTGCCTTCCAGATATTCCTGCACCAACGTGGCCTGGTTCTCGAGTCCCAGTCCGTTAATCTTGCCCTGAATATTGCCGAAAGCTGCACGCACTTCCTCCATCGAGTGACACAACATGACGTCGTCACTACCCGCGCTTTCCACAGGCTTGACGATCACCTTGAAGTCTCCACCTTTGAGCATCGGAATGAGCTCATTCTTGACGAAACTCTCGACCTGCGACCACTTGGCGGCCTGCACTTGAGCCACGGCACGAAGACCCGAAGCGCGAACCTTCTCGCCCATGAGATATTTGTTGCGGCGCGCGTTCGAGCCGCTCGTGCCGTTTGTAGTGAGCTTAAAGTGCTCCGACAGCTTGTCCGCCAGAAGCACGCCCGTCTCAGCACCCGCGAAGATCCCGACGATATCCACGTTCTTGACTCGACGCAGAGCAGCCGAAGTGTCCTGGAGCGCCTTGCTCGCGTCCTTGCGTTCGGCTTCTCCGTCGTGGTAAATGATGGCTAGGAATTTGGATGCCAGTTCCTTCGGTACGTGTGAGATACGCTCCTGTGTCACTTCGAGAGTATCCGAGTAGACGCAGACGCAGAGATAGCCACGCTCCAGGACCTTCTCGGCCATGGTACTACCCGTCGAATACGGATCCACGACCACAATTGCCTCCTGGCGCTCCTTGTCACCTTCAGCGATGCGGAACAGGTTGCGTTCTGCGCTCGTACTTACGCGTCGCTCGCATGCGTTAAAGAAACGTCGGTGCATCACGTCGGACGCCGTCAGTAGCTGCTTCTGCGAGCGCAGACGTGGGTCAAACGTAGCGGCGCGCTGCAGAGGCCGGAAGTCGGCCATGGCACCGAGGGTCACACGGTCGGCGCGAGCGTCGGCGCCAGTTCGCAGGTGTTTGCGCTCATCAAAGGTGATGGCACGCTGATCGGCCGAGAGAACGCGGAACGACGGCTCCGTCTTCTGCTGCGTTGGCAGCTCCTTGGCTGGCGCTGGCGGTGGGGTGGCGGCTTCTTTGGCGGCGGCGTTCCCCATGAAAGATTGATACCTGTATGTAAGTGCTGGCTGACGGATTTTCAACTGGTCGCCCCTACAAATTCTGTGAGCCACGCACGCACGTCTATTTATGCGACGTGCTATTCGAGGGCCCCCCACCCCCCGCGGAATATGGAAGGAGCCACAACTGACAGTAGTACAGTAGTCTACTGTAGACTTGATGCCATCAAGTTGATGGAGGCATACATGTACAATACAGTATTGACGCTGTTGCAGGTTGATCATCAACTTGATGGCCATGTTGAAGACATGGATGTTGAAGACGGCGTCAAAGCGAACCGGCTCTGCATCGAGATCTTCTGTCGCGCAGATTTGATGTGATCAGAATCGGCATGAGCCACGCCATGAATCATGGCCCGTGACGCAGAATTCAATGAATGAATTTGCCTGTGGTGGAGCTTGACCTTCTCTCAAATCTAACACAAGCAGCAAGTCGAAAGACATGATTGGTCAAAACAAAGAGCTATTTTAAACTTCCAGATTTTAACCATGCGAAATCTCTCACTTTCGGTACCCCGATTTATCGGTTTTTCGTTACCATACAGTATACACTGCGCGACAGATCACATCGGACACCCACTTACAGTGCTCTAGCGCCGTCAATACTGCGAGTTAGGTCATACTATTTAGATATATGCGAGTTGTTGACAGTAGGAAAAGCCTAGTAGCGCTAACGAGCGCAGAATCGGCCGCTGAGGGGGACCTCCAATACAACTTTCCACTTTCAGCTCCACGACAGATCAGATCGGACAGTACAGACTATACAAAAATCAAGTTTTTTTATTTCCTTAGTAAGTCGTTCTATCTCCTTTCTCGGCAACTACCGCTAAGCAGCGACGCGGCATTGACTCTACCAGTGACTGCAGCAAAGCGAGAGGGATGGAATTCCAAGCTTCGAATAGGGCTTCTTTCAGACCACACACCTTGTCGAATTGCTTACCGTTCCTGTAAACGCGCCGGCTCATTATTGACCATAGGTTTTCAATAGGATTTAAGTCGGGTGACTTAGACGGCCAGTCGAGCACCTTGACTTCCTGGTCCGCAAAAAAGTCCTTAGTGCGGGCTGAGGTGTGGATGCTGGCATTATCTTGTTGGAAGATATAGTCTAGACCGTAGTTGGCATGTGCATAGGGAAGCAAAAACTCGGACAACGTGTACACATAGTCGTCCGAGTTTTGCTTCCCATTCAAAATTACCAGCTGAGACTTCCCCGC